AAGAGTTGTTTTTCACGAGTTTGACAAGGGATTGCTTTTAAAGGTTTGCAAGTCACTGGGCTAAATCTGTCATCTATCTTCCAAGAGGCATTTGTGTTTTATTGAGGGCAATGTCTTTGACAGCACCAGCCATGCAAATTGCTAACTGCTGCTGTAAACAAACAGCTATCAGACCAAAACAGTAATGCTGGATGTAAGCAAGTGGATTATGGTTGCTTCCAATCATCAAGCAAAACACGTTCCCATTAGAACTAATAAAACAAGAGCTGTGTTTTTGGCACAAGTAGGAGAGATTCTACCCCCCCTTCTTCTTCCTCTCTGCTGAGCTGGGGGAAAGGAATGAAGACTCAGAGTGCACAGCCATGTGGAAAGAGAAAAGGTGCCTCCTGCCCTGCTGCTCTTGCTCTCCAATGCTTAGCGCTGGTGATCAGTAAAAGGCTACGACAGGTCTCCGTGAAGTCAAGTAGTGTCCTCCAGATAATTTTCTGTTTGGACCCAGGGAATGAGACAGATGTAATAGTCTGCAGAGATCTTCCTGTAAGAGGGGGCATGAAATTAATTCACATTTTTCTCTTACTGAGAAAAGTAACTAAAAGGTCAAAACATTCATCTTTAATAATTATACTTAAGAAAGAGCGTGTATTTCCAGACTTGGTGCTCTTGATTCATCGGCATGCACGACAATTGCTTGCGGAGGAACAGATTCCTAGCTGGGGAAAGTAAAAACATGGTATCTAAGCAGGGCATTTTCTGATTTAGTGTGTGAGCTCTTCAAAGAAAATAACAAGGTGATTCTGTTTTAGCCACAGAAGAACAAAACATAGAATACTTAAGGGAGATTTTTGGCTTCCAGTGCTAACAACCACCACTCATTTGTCCTTTCGTGCTGGTCCGTGTGGTGCCACGGTGCTAGAAACTAAGCTACTGGCATTGGAAATACCAGCAGGCATCCATGGTGGACGAGGAAGAAAGAGCAGATGGAAATGGATGTCAGAAGACACTCTGAAATTCGGGACAAACATTTCATATTAATAATATACTATCTTTATTTAATCATACAGCACTAGAGACAAAACCATATCCAACTCAAACTTTTTTTTCTTTCTTGTTTTTAAAACTTCTTTTTCATGGTCCTTCCACTTTACCAAACACGGTGTCCTTCTCCAGGGACTGGTCTCTCCTGACAATATGTCCAAAGCATGTGTATTAGTCTAGGTACTTTGGAAAAGCAAATCCACAGCAACTCATGTATAAGAGAGAGTTTTATGTAAAGAAAATGTGCATCATGAAAACATCCCAACCCAATGCTGCCCAAGCCCACAAGTCCAACATTAACCCATTAACCCAACACCAGTCCACAAAGTCCTCCACCTCACAAAACAGAGGCAATGATGCCGACTTCAGGAGGAAAGCTGAGTCAGTGAACGAATAAGCATCTCAGCACTAGCAGGGGTCTCCACACAGCTGCTCCAGCACCCAGGGCTGCATCGGGATAGGTCCATGTAGTTTCTTCTTGGGGATGTCTTGTATGAAGTCAATCTTGCAAGCTGAAGCAGGGAACTTCTAAGGCAGCTGCACCCTGGTGCGACCATCATAAAGCAAGAGACCCGAGAACTAGAAAGGTGAGGCTCACCACCCATTTATCCCTCTACCTTTCAATTAGCCCCACATGTGATTATCGGCCAGGCTGGCACAATTAACTAACTCAGCATGTAAGACAAAGTCTTGACATCTTGCCTCCAAGGAGCACGTACTTTTTCCAACACAGATTAGTTTGCCCTTTTAGCAAGCAGTCCATGGCATTTTCAATGTTCTCTTCCAGCACTGTAATTCAAATGCATCCATTCCTCTTCAGTCTTCCTTATTCAATGTCTAGTTTTCACATGCATATGATGCAATGGAGAATACCATGACTTGTGTCAGGTGCACCTTACTCCTCAAAGTAATATCCTTGCTCTTAAATACTTGTACATCGAATGTTGCAGATTTACCTCACGTAAATGTCTTTTGATCTCTTGACTGCTACTTCCATGAGCATTGATATGGATCCAAGTAAGACAAAACTCTTGGCAACTTCAACCATTTTTTCCATTTATCATGATGCTACCTATTCAGTTGTGAGGATTTTCGTCTTCCTTACATTGAGTTGTAATCCATACTGAGGGGTACAATCTTTGATCTTCATCAGCAGATGCTTCAATTCCTTCTCACTTTCAGGAAGCAAGATTGTGTCATCTGCACACTGGGTTGTTAGTGAGCCTTCCTCCAATCCAGATGCCAAATTCTTCTTCATATAATCCAGCTTCTCTGATGATTTACTCAATGTACAGATTGAACAAGTGTAGTGAGAGGATTCAACCCTGATGCACACCTTTCCTGATGTTAAACCATGCCATCTTCACTTGTTCTGTTCACACAGCTGCTCCTTGATCCATGCACAAGTTCTGAATGAGCACAATGAAGCGTTCTAGAATTCCCTTTCTTCAAGGTGATCCACGGTTTTTGTGGTCCACACAGTTGAATGCCTTTGCATAGTCAATGAAACACGGGTAAACATCTTTTTGATGGTCTCTGCTTTGAGCCAAGATCCATTTAACATCAGCAATGATAAGCCTTGTTACACGTCCTCTTCTGAATCCAGCCTGAGCTTCTGGCAGTCATCTGTCAATGTAATGCTGCAACTGTTGTTGAATTTTACTTGTGTGCAATATCAATGATATGGTTTTACAGTTTGAGCAACTATACAGTTGGGTCACAAATGGGCACATTATGGATCTCTTCCAGTCAGCTGTCTTCCAAATCCTGGCATAGATGAGTGAGTGCTTCCAGTGTATCTTCAGTTTTCTGAAACATTTCAGTGGGTATTTTGTCAATTCTTGGAGTCTTGTTTTTGGCTACTGCATTCAGTGCAGCTTGAACTTCTTCTTTTACTACCATTGGTTCTTGCTCATATGCTAGCTCCTGAAATGGTGGAATGTTTACTAGTTCTATTTGGTACAGTGACTGTGTATTCTTGCAATCTTCTCTTGATGCTTCCTACATCATTTAATATTTTGCCTATATAATTTTTCAAAATTGCAATTTGAGGCTTGAATTTCTTCTTGAATTCTTTCAGTTTAATATATGCTGAGTATGATTTTCCCTTTTCCCCTAAATGTTTTTGGTTTTCTAACTCTAGAACCTTACAGTTTGTTATATTTGGCTTTGTCTTCTTGAACTGCCCTTTGAAGTGTTCTATTCAGCTCCTTAACTTCATCCTCTCTTACATTTGCTTTAGCTACTTCTCTATGATTAAGAGCTAGGTTCAGAGTCTCTTCTGACATTCACTGGATCTTTTCTTTCTTTCCCATCCTTGTTTTCCCTCTTCTTTCCCATCCTTTTCATCACCTTTTGCTTTCTTCATGAATGATGGTCTTGATGTCCTCCCAAGTTCATCAGGTCTTTTGTCATTAGTGTTCAGTGTGTCAAATCTGTTCTTGAGATGTTCCCAAATTCCGGTCGGATAGACTCAAGGCCATATGTTGGCTCTTGTGGACTTGACTTCATTTTCTTCAGTTTTATCCTGCCCTTACATATGAGCAAATGATGGCTTGTTCCATAGTCGGCCCCTGGTCTTGTTTCGCTGCTGATACTGAGTTTCTTCACTGTGTATTCCCACAGATTTGGCCAATTTGATTTCTGTGTATTCCACCTAGGGAAGTCCACAGGTATAGTCATTTTTTTGTGTTGTTGAAAAAAGGTATTTGGTATGAAAAAGTTTTTGGTTTTGAAAAATTCTATCATGTGATCTTCAGCTTTATTTCTATCGCCAAGTCCCTATTTTCCAACTACTGGTTCTTCTTGTTTCCAACTTTTGCATTCAAATCACCAATAAGTATTAATGCATCATGATTGCATTTCTGATCAACTTCTGACTA